TGAGAAGGATATATATATATATATATATATATATATATATATATAATGACTGGTGGTCCACAGATCTGGTACTTCCTGGAAGGTGGCTATGATGTTTACCGCCTGGTCCCATCCAGAGGCTGGAACATCTTCTTTAACCTACAGAAGATGCAGCAGTCTTCCCTCTATGCAGACAAAGAGTTCTTGGTCTCCATCTTCTATGAAGATGGGGAGCTCTACCAGGTAGCCAAGGGCGGTGGAGGGTAGGGCAGAGATGGGGCGCAGGTGGGGACCACAAGGAGGTTTCCACCAGCTTACCTGCCTGCTTCTGCCCCAGTTGGTATATCTTCACGACACCGGGAATAAACGATTGGTCAAGAGGGTCTTGCCCGTGGCACAGGTGCTGCTGTTTGACCAGAACAACCCCCAGATACTGCTGAAGGATGGGTGAGAAGATGGGGCCCTTGAAAAGGTCTGAGAGCTCCCAGGCAAGGGGCAGGAGCAAGAGATGCCCTAAGGGTCGCCTGGGATGCAGAGGCATGGGCACTCTGCATGGAGCAAAGCTCAAAGGATTCGGAATGTGGTGCGGCTGGTCATCAGGGAGGAGGGGGCCATGGTGAGAGGGTGCAGGGGAATTCTGAGGAGGTAGTGGGAAAGGGAGATTACAGGAGACAGCCTTACTCACTCGTAAAAGCCCTAGAGGACCGGCATCTAGTCCTTCAGTAACCGGCAGACTCCAGCAATGGTTGATGGCTGCATTCTCAGCAAGAGCAAGGTTACAAAAGAACTCAGTTCAAGGCTACTCTGGGCTACTAATGAGACTGGGGGAGGGGGCTTCTAAGCACCTGCAGAGGGTGGAACCAGAAAAGCACATGGCGGTTGGTTGGGGTGGAAGCAAGGCAAGGGACCTAACTGGGCTGAGTGGGGAAGACTTTGAGTAGAGATCCCTGGGGAACTGAAGGTGGAGGAGGTGGCTCTCGTCTGAGAGACAGCCACCAGAGTGTGGTCAGAGAGTGCCGAACATGAGGGTCTGAACGGAGTTTGCTACAAGCCAGGATAAATTTAGGGAACTAGCAACTCAGAAGTGGGGAAATAAAGATCTGGGGATGCTCCTGATATTCCAGGTATCAGCATCTGTCTCCCCTTGTATGCCCACTGCCCACTGCTGCCCAGGAACCGCCGGATGCTCGCCTTCTCCCACATGTGCCCTTTCAAGGTGATGCGTCTACGTGACCTGCCCAAAACACAGCATCTTTCACGTCAGGAGATCTACCATGCTCCACCACCTCTGGTCTCCGAGTCCCAGGGCTTCCACAATAATAAGACACTTGCTATCTATCAAGGGCTCATATATTACCTGCTGTGGCTCCACTCCAAGTATGACAAGGTGGGCACCTAGAGGGGTGAGCTTGACGGGGTAGTGCAGCCAGATTAGAGCCTGAAGTTCAAACACACAGAGGATGACGGGGCAGAGGCAAAAGGTTTGAGCTGGACTTCAGAGTGGTTCTTAGGGGTGAGGCCCTTGGATTAAAAATCAAGAAGCCAGGTTTAGGTTACACATGCTGGCCCATGCCTATAATCTCAGCACTTGGGAGGTAGAGGCAGAAAGCTCAGAGATCAGAAGTTCAAAACCAGCCTTGACTATATGAGACCCCGCCATTAAAAAAAAAAGTGCCAGGTGGTGGTGGCACATGCCTTTAATCCCAGTACTTTGGAGGCAGAGGCAGGCTGATTTCTGTGAGTTTGAGCTACAAGAGCTAGTTCCAGGACAGGCTCCAAAGCTATAGAGAAACCCTATCTTGAAAAAAAACAAAAACAAACAAACAACAACAACAACAAAAAAAAAACAAAAAAAAAGTTGTTTGTGTGTGTGTGTAGCCCTTATACCTTATCCGGGCACTCTAGAGGCAGAGGCCGACAGAACTCTTGAGTTTGTGGTCCGCCTGGTCTACATGGTGAGCTGGAGGAAAGCCAGGCTACTTAGTGAGACCCTGTATCCATAAAATAAAATTAATAAACAACAACAACAACAACAAACCCGAAACCAACCAGACATAGAACAAAACAAGGGACCGGGGAGATGCTGCACAAACCCTGAGTACGAATCACGGCACCCGCTGGGGAGGCAGAGACGGACTTGAACAGTGAGACTCACTGGCCAGCCAGTCTAGTCCGATCAGACCACGGTTCAGTGAAAACTTCCTGGGCTGCTTCTTTGGAAACACAAGCAAGGTTTCTGGCCCCGAGACAAGCTCGCAAGACACAGGAAGATGGGTATTGGGGCGGGCTGGGGTTCAGCTCCTACTCTGAGCTATGAGCCGAAACCAATCCTAGAGTTAGCTGTCTGCCTCCTCCCAGTCACCTCACGGTGTCTGACCATCCCGCAGCCCTACGCGGACCCTGTGCACGATCCCACTTGGCGTTGGTGGGAACACAAAACACAGTTCAAGGTAGGTGGACGGGTTGGGAATTGGTGGAGGGATAGCACTGAGATGCTGGCGTCCCATCCAGCGTCCACTGGCTGACCACCTGGTGCTTCCAGGATTACTACTTCTACCTGTCCAGCAACTGGCTGGCAGAGGAAGGCATGTACATCGACATGAGCAGCTACAAAAAGCTCTACAACGTCTCCAAAGAACACGGGCTGCCCGAGATTGTCTTCCTGGACAAGGGCAACTCGTTTAGCTTCACCGTCTTCCTGTCGTCCCACGGGGACACCTCAGAGTTCAGCACCAACGCTGGTCTGTGGGCGGGGCCTACTTGGCAACCGAGGGTGGGGCCGGGAGCCTCTGGGGGTGGGTTCCAGGCTTCAAGCCCCTCCCACTTCCCCTGACAGGCTCTGGCTACCAGATAGATAAGAATTTGGCAGTGGCTGTGGCAGTGGCTGATCCCGAATGCCTTGAGGCATCTGTGAATCAGGAGGTCCTTATTAACCGCAGAGCAGTGCTCTACAAGGTGAGGAGGCCAGAGAGGAGCACGGGTGCTGTCCCTCTGGTCCTCTGCACAGTCAGTGGAAAGCCACAGATCTTATTAGCCCCCTCTGAACCCCAGTTATCGGATCTTCCAATGGCTCTGGATCCGAGGGCATTTTTGGATATCCCTCTATTTCAGCCTCTCCTTTCTTTACCTCAGATTACAGTCAAGGACAGAAAGGTCTGCTATGATCAGGGCCTCAGTGGATATAACCTCAAGAAGACTTCCTTGATGGTCAAAGTATGGTCCAAGCCTGGGGGAGGGTGTAGGGATGGGACCCTGGTCCTTAGGATCCGTAGCATCAGCCACTCCTACCCACAGGTGTTGGGATCCTCTGGAAAATGCTTCCAGACCACATACCTTGGGGCAAACATGCAAGTACTGGAACTTGGGTACTGGGCCTGGTATTGGGAGTGGAAGGTTGGGTGGAGTTGCCACAGGGCTGGAGTTGCCACCCCCCAGCAGGAGGTCTTTTTCCTTCCCAGGGTCATTTGATGGTGCCATTGTTAATCGGCTGTCCCCCTGGCAAGCGCCTGGCCTTCGATGTCACCTACACGATCATATACTCCCGGGACTTAAACAAACACTATTTCGACTGTGCGGTGCCGAACCTCGAGATGCCATGCTTTCTCTATCGTGACTGTGTGTCTCATCCCTTCTCCCACGTCCACTGCCCTCCTGTCCTGGCCTCTTCCCTCTGGCATTCCCTTCGCCTCAGCCCATCACCTTCTGCTCCAACCCCGAGTCCCCCCTCCACTTGCTTCCTGCTCCCCTCTGGACAAAGATAATTTCTTCCTCCCCTCTTCTCCTCTGCAACCCACAGTGTTTCAGCCCTTCTTCTTAGTCCAAGACATGGTGACGGGAGCTTCGGGCAGCTTCCTAGGCAGGTGAGGAAAGGCTGGCTGGAGGCTACAGGTACTTGACAAACGGGAAGAGGGAGATGCAGGGTTCAGGAGCCTAGGTGGTCTGTGTTTCCATCTTCATTCTGCAGTTACTTGCTGCTGGTGGTGGGTGGCGGTCCCACCTTGGACACCATCAGAGATTACACGGAAGAGGAAATCTACCATTACAACAGTCCACTGGACAAGTAATCCCTCTGGGGTCCCTGTCCACAGTTGGGTCCAGTCTGTGGGTCTCCCCTCCCACTTCCAGTTAAACAGGGGACTTTTGCTGCTCTTGCAGCAAAGCTTACCCACCCACCCAGTGTCCCAGATTAGACCTACAGACAGGCCAAGGCTCCAGCCCCGCCCACCAGGGGCCCCGCCCTTAGGTGCCAACAACTGTGTTGTGCTCAACCCACCCTGACATTATCGGGGCCTGCACAGGACCAATAGCCGCATCTGGACAACAAATGTTAAAACAACCACTCCGGACAAGAAGTTCTACATAATGAACTACCAGAGCCCGGGAATTGAGTAAGTCCCAAGAGTTCTGCCCTCCAGGTTTGTTTTTTTTGGTTGGTTTGGTTTGGTTTTGGTGCTGTCCTCTCGTAGCCCAGACTGGCCTTGAATTTACCTTCTAGCTGAGGATGACCTTTTTCTCTTTCTCCCATTTCTGTCTCCTGAATTCTGGGATTACAGGTGTGCACTCCCAGACCACTTTATGGGGTGCCAGGCAAGCATTCTACCAACTGAGCCACTTCCTGAGCACCCTGTTGGTTTGGTTTGGCTTTCCACAGAGTCTCACTCTGCAGCTCTGCCTTGTCTCAAAATGATGGTTGTTGTACTCTGCTTTCTGGAATTCAGGCCTTGCTCTTTGCATGAGCCCCCCCCCCCCCCCCCCCCCCCCCCCCCCCCCCCCCCCCCCCCCCCCCCCCCCCCCCCCCCGGCTCCCCTGTGCTCCAGCGTGGTCTCTGAGGAGCTTTCCCGGAGTCACACTGTTTATGTTTCCCAAGGAGGGCAAGCCTTTGTATGTGTGTAGTGAGGCTCTGCCGGAAGCCTGGGTCCCATATTCTGTCCTCAGGCCTTGCCTCACGCTCTCCTTTCTCAGCAAGGTTATCCAAGCCCTTTCTTTTCAGAGGGGCAGTCGGCTCCTCTGGACTCGCCCATCCCTTTCCCATGCTGAGCCTTCGCTGGCACTGCCCACCCTTCTTTGACCCTCTGCCTGCAGATCACCTTACTTTTCCATCCTGACCATTCTAAGCTGTTACTCTCTCTTGAAGGGTCTCTCTCCCCTTTACACAGCTCTTGAGTAGACACAATATAACTTTTTTAAATATAATTTTTGGTTGTTATCCTTTTTTTTTTTTGCTTTATTTATTATGTACACAGGGTTCAGCCTCCATGTATGCCTGCAGGCCAGAAGAGGGCTCCAGATCTCATTACAGATGGTTGCGAGCCACCATGTAGTTGCTGGGAAATTGAACTCAGGACTTTTGGAAGAGCAGGCAGTGCTCTTAACCTCTGAGCCATCTCTCCAGCCCCAATATAACTTTTTTTTTTTTAAGTGAAGATGGACAAACCAATGCATGGTCAGCATCCATTGCTAGTTAAATGGAGCTGTTACTGACTGAATCTACTCTAGCGGAGTTCGATAGCTTGTAAGGGCTTGATAACCATCTTTGAGTCAACGAAAAGAAAGCTATGATACCACAAGGTGGCAAATGAACAAATTAGCCAACTGCACCCAAGTTCGTCCTTAGTTCAGGTTTACTGAACAATAGCCAAGAGGGAGTAAGAGAAGAGATGCGAGTTGGTGCCTAGCTTGTGTCCAGACCCTGCTTGTGGGTTGAGGGAATGAAGGTGGCTCCCAGTAGGCACTCTGCCCAGCAGGTGGCTGAATTGGCAGGTGGAGACAATGAGGCAGCGGGCAGTTAGGGACCAGCCTGTTCCCTTGGCAGGTGCTCAGACAGCATCCCTGTTTGAGTGGGCTGAGTAGGCAGGAGAAGGCGGAGACCTAGATGGGGTGTGGCTCAGTGGGGGAGCTCTGGCTTTATTTACCAGTGAAGGGGTTGAGGGGGCAACTCAGGGGGAAAACCCTTGCCTGGAAGTGGGCGTGGCTCTGCAGTAGAGTGCTCGCCCAGCTCAGTCCAAGCTGCACCCTTAAAAAGGGACAAATAAGTGGGGGCTGATCTATTGGGAGCTCACCAAGGCCAGCTGGACTGTGACTGAAAAAGCATGGGATAAAACCGGACTCTCTGATCATGGCGAACAATGAGGACTGATGAGAAGCCAAGGTCAATGGCAAGGGGTTCTAACCCTACTTCATGTTCTGGCTTGGTGGGAGCCTAGCCAGTTTGGATGCTCACCTTCCTAGACATGGACGGAGGGGGGAGGACCTTGGACTTTCCACAGGGCAGGGAACCATGACTGCTCTTTGGATTAGAGAGGGAGGGAGAGAGAAGTGGGGGGAGGGGGAGAAGAGTGGGGGGAGGGGGAGGGAAATGGGAGGCTGGGAGGAGGCGGAAACTTTTTTTTTTCTTATTCTCAATAAAAAAAAAAAAGGGACAAATAGCCTGGAGAAGGTGGAGAGTGTACTCAGCTGGTGCTTACCGAAGTGAAGTGTTGCAGCTGCCTATACTTGGACTCCTAGGTGGCTGTGTTTAGAGAACTCCCCGTGCCATGACATCATTCCCCAAAGCATCTTTGCGCCTGAATTCTTCCTCAAGTTGTTGGTGAGCAATAGGTAAGCCAGGCATGTAGTCCGTGTGTGTGTGTGTGTGTGTGTGTGTGTGTGTGTGTATGTGTGTGTGCGCGCGCGTGCGGGGAGGGTGTCTGAGACCATGGGATGATGCCACACAACCTAACCCAATTCTGGATTCCATTCCCTCATCAGAGGAGTAGACACCAGCACATACTGTGACTACAAGCTCATCTTCGTACTGCACATTCATGGGCTACCGCTCAGCGGCAAGCGGTCCCTCTTCATCGTCATTGTGAGCGGCAGTCAAAGGCTTCCCTAGGGGCGGGAGGGTTCACCCCACACTGCACACCCCTGACTGCCGCACTGTGCCCACAGGTGTCCAGCAGTCTGCTTCTGGGCCTGGTGGTCTTCTACATCCTCTTCTGCCTTGTCTGGCCCCACATAGTGGGGGCCTGGGCCTCGTTACGCTGGAAGATTAACAACATCATGGCCTCAGAATCCTACTACACGTATGCCACCTCTAACGCTGGCTTCAGCATCCATTCTCAGAGTGGCTCAGAGGAAAATTCCAGGGCTCCCTCCAAAGCAGGTTCCAAAGAGGACAATGTAGCCAAGAAGTGAGAAGTGGCCAGGACCTCTAGTCTGTACCTTTTCCCACACACCCTTAAGCCTGCCACCTACCCAGGGCTTTCTGGTTTGCTAGAATGTCCCTGTCTCGTACAGACCCAAATAAAACATCATTTGAAAATCAGCCCTAGTCTTTCGGAAGGTTCATGTGTTGCTCGGTTTGTACCAGTACAGCTGCAGTGACCATCAAAAGACCAGAACCTGCGTTTTCAAGATGGCACAATAGATAAATGAGCTTAGTATAGTACAAAGGCTCACAGCCGGGTTTTCATCCTGGGACTCATATGGTAGAAAGAGACAACTGAGTCCCTGAAGCTGTCCTCTGACCTCAGTAAGCACAGGGGTGTGTCCACACACACAAGTGTGACACACATGTGCACACACACACAGATATGATTTTCGAAGTTAGGATAGGTACACATTTTGATCTCAGCAGAGGAGGCAGAAACAGGTGAAACTCTGAGTGTGGGACCAGCCTGGTCTACATAGCCAGGCCAACCATATATGTGCACAGACCCTGTCTCTAACAAAACAAAACAAAACAAAACAAAACAAAATCTGCTCAGAACAAACAAGACAGCGCTAGCTAGTATGGTGACTCAAACTGTCGTCTGACGACTTAGGTGCCCAAGGAAGCAGAAACAGTCTGAGTTTGAGGCCAGTCTGGGTCACTCAGTGACTTCCAGACTTGTTTGAACTACAAGAGAAAGATCCTTCAAACCATAAATGATTTAAAAATTCAAGCATGTTCCCAGTACTGGTGCTGGGAGGCAGTTGTAAAGCTTCAAATTCCAAGCCAGGTAGAGGTGGCTCATACCTTTAATCCCAACACTCAGTACGCAGAGACAGGTGTTCTCTGTGAGTTCAAGACCAGCCTGGTCTACAGAGCGAGTTCCAGGATAGTCAGGGCTGCTACAGAGAGAAACCCTGTCTCAAAAAGTAAAAGAAAGGGCTGGAGAGATGGTTCAGTGGTTAAGAGCACTGGCTGCTCTTCCACAGGTCCTGAGTTCAATTCCCAGCAACCACATGGTGGCTCACAACCATCTGTAATGAGATCTGGCACTCTCCTCTGGTGTGGGGGCATACATGGAGGCAAAATGTTGTATACATAATAAATACATAAATCTTTTTAAAAAAAAGTAAAAGAAAAAAATCAAGTTTCCACTTTGTTTGATTTTGCTGAGAAACTCTTCAGGAAGGCTACAGAAGGACAGGCAGTTATGGCTGCCACCGTTCCAGTTGGTTATACTCAAGTCAAGCTGAACGCTGGCACCAGCAACAACTCAGCCCCTCTCACGCCACACGGTCCTCTACTCTCTGGTTCTGTCTCTGATTCTTCCATCATGTTCTGATAATTTGGTGCCCTAGTTGTAACAGCCAGTATATATTTTGAGTGCCAGTGTCTGTCAAGTGGTTTATGGGCAATGAAAGGATTTTTTAATTTTTTTTTTGTTTTACATACCAACCACAGTTTCCCCTCCCTCCTTTCTCCTCTTCTCTCCCCCCCCCTTCAATCCTGCCCATCGCCCCATCCACTCCTCAGGAAGTGTAAGACCTCCCAATAAAACCTGGCATATCAAGTTGAAGCAGAACCGGGCTCCTCCTCACTGCATCAAGGCTGAGTGAGTCATCTCACCATAGGGAATGGGTCCCAAAGAAGCCAGCTCCTAATTATTTAACTTTATTTTATGTGTATTGCTGTGAAGGTGTCTGATCCCCTGGAATTAGACTTACAGGCAGTTGTGAGCCGCGGTGTGGACACTGGGAACTGAACCCCCATCCTGTAGAAGAACCAGGGCTCTTAACCTGTGCTTGAGTGTTCTACACAGAAGTGGTAATGTATGAGGCTTTTGTGGTTGATTTTTTTTTTTTTTTTTTGGTTTTTTGAAACCGGGTTTCGCTGTAGTTTTAGAACCTGTCCTGGAACTAGCTCTTGTAGACCAGATTGGCTTTAAACTCACAGAGATCCACCTGCCTCTGCCTCCTGAGTGCTGGGATTAAAGGCGTGCGCCACCACCGCCACCACCACCTGGCTGTGGTTGATTTTTGTCATTACTCATTTTATGTGTTGGAGGAGGCACACATGCGACAGCATGCATGTGGGGGTCAGAGAACAACTCCATCAAAGATTCTCTCCTACCATGTCAGTTCCACAATCCCAACTCAAGCTACCATCTTGGCGGCAGCACAGCTGCCACATGAGCCATCCCAATACACCCACACCTTGCCTTTCCTCCCTCCCT